AGTCAAAGTAGATAAAAGTGAACAGAGGTAAAGTAAAAGAAACATGCATATAGAAATACCCGCAGCTTTCGGACACCGGTATGGGTTTCTCATCCAGGATTCACAATAATACACACTAGAGTAAGAAGATTTTTGGCCCATAAGTTAGCACGCTCTATTAAGATTCGTATACGGTTTCACTGCTTAGTGTCATTCCCTTCCTATTTGTCGGTCAGTCTAGAGCTTAGAAGTAAATCGCTAATTCGGGGAACCTCTGTGCGATCTTACTGACAATAAAGACATCATCAGAGGGTTGTCTATCCATGCTGTAGATTGGGACTTCATCCAAAATCACAGATGATTCTGACCTGAATTGCCCATTTGAGAATCTGACGGAATTCCAGATCATCACGTCTACAGCCATGTATTCGATCGAATAATGAGCCTCCTTCAGCAAACTCTATAATGGGAAAATATCTGTTTCAAGAATTATAGTTATTAGTTGAAATAAAATCAAACTATTCATTCTTATTTAATACTAACAAATTTTGTTACTACTATTACCGTTATTATCATTATCATCTTCGTCACCGTATTACTATTCTTGCAGTAGCAATAATAATAACTATTACTATTGTTATTATCATTGTCATCATCTAATCAATGTTATTCTTATCATTATTATTGTCATTACTGTTATTATAGTTATCATTATATTATAGGCCATAATTCAACAATTTTTCCTTCAAATTCCAAAAAATGTGCTGCTACCTGTCAGTATGAAGAAGTCGGGGTTGGCGTAAGAGACACCAAAGAATTGTATAATATTACGATGTCTAATTTTCGACAAAATCTCTGCCTAAAAATGTTTCTGTCGGCAAATTAAAGTTTTTTAGCTGTCTGTGTAAAATTTAAACACCTAGAACTGTACTGACGTTTGTCGCCTTTGTCTTCTGTACGAAGCCTATGAAGGACTCCTTTCCCTATAAGCAAGTATCTAGAATCGGAAATACTGGTCCACTCGATTTTCCCGCACTTTCTCGTGCAGGTCATGACGCTCGATGAATACGGCCAACAAGTTCCTTAATAGATGAACTGCAAGACTGCGGTAGAGACCAGTAGTTCGAAATGGCCATTGGGCCCGCCAATCCCTCTACGATTTTTTTCATTCGTTTCATTGGTAAATTGGCATTGACGTTTACCAAGGAGCCGATATCAGATAAACGATTTTATTGTTAATACTTATCGTACTAGGTCTGGACTGCAACCCGAAAAACCTCTCTTTGACAGTGAAAATGCATAGAGAGCGATTTTTGAACTCGACATAATTTTGAGAATTAGCGAGTGATGAACCTCTTTCTCGAGCATGAAGACTTTTTTCAAGGCGACTTTGCGCGAACCGCCTTCCACGTGCTTCAAATATCCCTCGAAAACAGTACCATGTGCGCCAAATCCAAGCTGTTTGCCGATTTCCAAATCAGTGCGCGGAATGATCGGATAAGTGGGTGTTACGGGATATGTCTTCTCCGTAATGAATGATGGCATTCGATGACATTCGTATTGGAACACGGATCTTGATGAACACAAAAATAGGTGAAAACTGAATCGCAAGTTGAGTGAAGCGCCTCTGCACGCAATACTTAAATGATCAATGAACAGCTGAACAAAAACAACTACGCAGCTGATCAACTAGACAGCCAAACAACTGCTTGCTTGTGTAATTTGTTTTCGCATTGATTTCCCTGACTGATAAAATCGGCGGAACTATATGAAATTTCGAAAAATCTCGCGAAATCCTGAAAAACCAAGGATCGGAAATACTGGATCGATCTAATTACTCTGTGTTTCAGTGGGCATACTGAAGAGCAGACTGTGTTTCATTCTTTAGCTGATGAGAAGCCTTTGTCCCCTTTCGCTCTCATTGTGCACAACAAACTTCCCAATAGTCGGGAAATGCCGAGCCAAGTACTTGTCGAAAATTTTTTGCTGTTGCAGGGCAGGTCTTTTGCGGAAACTGAAGCTTCCAAGACTACCGTGTAGAATGTCTGCTGCTGTAAAGTTGTACTGAATCCCTCAAAGAAACGTTCAATGCGTTCGTCTTCGACTGCCGAAGTAGGCGCACCGAGTTTTGCAAGCTTCACCTGCTTATTTTCTGCTGATACGGATAACGAACATCTCAACTGTGGAAACCAAATCGCATATGCAGTTTCCCTGGGCGACGGTTTGTGGGGCCGAAGACAAAAAGATTTTATGCACTCTAAATCCTGCACTGCATTCTAAAATCCCAAAGTTGCTGATCGGACAAGCAACCAACTATGTTCTGTTATAACAATGCACATATATAATTTATCCGTACAAATGCAGCTGAACTGAGATAACCACATTGTGGAAGATCGTCGCAGCTCAATGCATGTGTGTTTGCGACAGCAGATATTTCCTCAACTGTCAAAAATAGGATTCAACAAGAAAAAGACCCCTGGCTCAGTTGCTCACTTTCTCAAAAAATTGCTGTGCAGTAAAATTGTTACATAGGTTTAATATTTTCCCACTATTCCTTGTTATTGCAAATTTTTGATCGAATTTAAAGCACCCTCCTGAGTCGATAATGGCAAAACAAAAATGCAATGGCCACTTGAATAACTGGCATAGAAATTTCGTGTTGGTGATATTACTATTACTAAAGAGTTCAGGAACAAATAAAATGAAGAAATTCGTCCCAAAGTTGCGGCTTTTTCCTTTTAAATCATTTAAATCTGCAAATTATGGATTCGCGTTGCTATGCAACCGCCCTGCAATCATACTCATCCGCTGAGTTGAGCTGCAGCTTTTCTGGATTTTAATATGGATTTCTAGAATTCAGCTTCTTTGATTTTTTTAGAACCCAAGAATTCAGGAAGGTCTGAACTTAAGAATCGCTACTCGACCTTACTCGCTTCTAAATCATTTAGTATTTTTCGCAGCTAACAAGAGGGATTTATGTTAGCAAGTGCTGGGACTAATCGAGGATGTGTTCAGAATGGATATATCGTTAACGAGGGTTGATTATGCTCAGATTGGAACAGCTAGTCGCGGATGCATGCGAATCATTCCAGCTGAAAAAAGCAAAAAGAAAGCGAGCTTTCTCGATAAGGTTGAACTTTTTTT